TATATATATATCCTTAGGCACTATATATTGGAAGAAATTTTTTTTAGAGCTAGCTAACATTTTACAGGTATCTTGGATATTAAGAGCTCTCAATTCTAAACTCCAGCATTAACCAATGTACTCACGGCAGTCATCTGGTTCATCAGACCCGTCACCACAATCATCCACAGTGTCACATTTCCACCAGAATGGAATACATTTATCTGTTTTGCAACGAAACTAAAAAAAAAAAAAAAAAATGTTGAAGAACCCAACTTGCATATAATGGATATTTAACATCTGACCAGAGAACAGCCTACCCTACTCTCTTGCAATTGTAAACAATCATGGTCTTAGAGCATTTCACAATATGTCCTAAATGCACAAGTAGTGAAATGATTTCCAGAGAAACACATTGTTTAGGAAAACCTCATTCCTTTATATATTGCCTATGGCTACTTTCAAACTACAACAATTGAGCTTTTTTACAGAGACCCTGTGGCAAGCAAAATCTCAAATATTTACTATTGGGCTCTTTGCAGAACACATTTGCTGACCCCTGAATAAGAGTTAAAAATCGTCAAGAATTCCAGGAATCAAGTTTAATTAATTTAGTTAACTTGAATTAATTTAATTGACATGCATTGTTCTAGGAATCTTGGACAATGCTTAATATCTCTCAGCCTCTGCTCCTTAACCATCAAATGTGAAGCTAAGGATAATTTGGAGGACACTTTTCAGCTTGGTTATGCTGGGATTCCATAAAATATCCTCAACACTGAAAATGCCTTTAGCAAAATAAATATCTTCCCTATAGACATTTTAAGTATATTTCCTTAAGGTAGTTGACTTTTATGCAGTTATTTTCAGCTTTAGGAATTTTTAAAAATGTACATGATCTTTTAGGATAAACAAAATGAAATTGTGGTAGCTTTTTAAGAAAGGGAAAATATAAATCCATGATAATCTTTATTGTTGAAAATATTAACTCTTTTTAAATAGAAGCACAGAAGAAGACTGCTAATAAGACTTTTATTCAATATTATGTATAAAACTATTTACTAAATATATTAGATGTATTTGTATTATCACCTTTTCATTTAGCAAAGCTAAAATATATTAATAACAAATATTTCTATAAAAGCATAACTCTATTTTTTTATTGAAATAAGAGGTTTTTGTTTTTATTATTCCTTCCATTTAAAATGAACCATCAAGTGGAAGATTAACAAGGGAAATTTGTTGAAATGTTATGTGGTGATACTCACTTTTAGGCTATTTAGCATACACGTGACTAGAGAAAAAATTCAGGACTTGACTATTGCACATTATTTTTTTAAAAAAGGTAATCCAAATTCAAATTCATCCACTAAGAGCACAAAACTACTTTTTCAGCTAATTTCTCTGTTGGCCAATTTTCACAGAGCCCAAGAAAGCAAGGCAATTTGTTCCTCACTCTGTGAACAAATTTCTTTCTTAGCATCACTTAGCTTTAAGCTTACCTCAGAAGATGGAAGAAATGAAAGGAAATCAGACTTTCCTTTCAGAAGGTACATGCATATTAAATACTTGCCATGAAAAGATTTATTCTGTTACCAACATTACAATGGATAAAGCTAAGTCCATTTCTTCAGGTGCCATCAACTTTGTTTTCTTCTCTTTAATAGAAATTCAGGGAAAAGCACACATCACAATATTCATCTAGGACTGAAATATTAGTTTTCTAATTTTCTCAAAGTTTTTCATTTTCTGTTTGATACATTTATGTTAGAATTCCCATGTGAGTGACTGATAGCACATAAGCATTTATTTTAGCATTTTGAATGTAGAAAAGATTTGTAACAGAAATATATAACCTATGTTCCATTTTTTCTTATAAAAATGGATTAGCAAGCTAAGAGGGTGTTCATTTAAAATATTGTAACATTCTTCAAGAGAGAATTCCGTGCACAACTTTGTTGAACCTGCCTGGACCTCATGAAACTCATTTAAAGGTAGATTGACGTTAATTGTATTATTAGGGCAAATATTGCCTTTTACTGGCTATATGGAGAGGAAGTAGAGCACTATGAATACGAGGTGACATGGGCTTTTCCCATATTTGCTCAACTGCTTTTCCCATATTTGCTTAGCCTTTGGTCATCCATTGTGGTTTTTCATGCATTACCAGAGGGGAAAAAAAAAATCACCTTTATAGAAAGTGACTGTCTGGGGAGATGAGGCTAACTCTGAAAGCAATTGCCTGAACACTAAACATTTCCAGTCATTAGAGTATATCAAAACCCATTCATAAGAACATTTCAGGTCTCCCGAGTCTCTTTAACGTCTTTCCAGTTATGATTCAAAAAATATCTAAAACATATATATGTATACATATATATTCACTAAATAGGTCTGATTTAAATAAACACCAACGGTTGGAATTATATATGACATAATGATTTTCTTCTCCATTTCATTTTTAATAACAACATAAAAGGATTCTGAGTTCAGAGAAGAGCAGGGTAAAATATATGTATCATGTTCCTTCTTTGCTAATCAACATTTTATTCATTACTCTCAAAAGGAAGATCTCTTTTATTCCATGTGTGAGATTAATTTTTTATACTTAAATTCTGTAACTTAAAAAAGATTAATGCTAGGTATAAATATAAAACACTCTTCATGGTAAATATTCTCCAAGACCAATATCTTCATAAAATAAACTGCAGAATACAATTATCAGTCACAAAGTGAAGCTATTACCAAAAATTATTAAGGCGCTCTGGTGCTATAATGGTTAGGGCATTTGGTTGCAAATCAGAAGGCCATTGGTTCGAACCTACCAGCTGCTCTGTGGAAGAAAGATGAGGCAGTCTACTTCCATAAAGATTTATAGCCTTGAAAATACAATGGGTGTTGCTATGAGTGTGAATCTACTGGATGATAGTGAGGTTAGTTTGATTTTGACTAACATGTAAACAAAGAGCCATGGTGGTGCAATGGTTGAGCAGTTTGCTGCTAACAGAAAGGTTTGTGGTTCAAACTTACCAGCTGCTCTGGTAGAAAAATGTGATAGTCTGCTTCTATAAAGATTTACAGCCATGGAGCCCTATGGGACAGTTCTACCTTGACCTATAGGGACACTATGAATCAGAAGACTTGAAGGCAGTACATTTGATTTGATTCTTTTAATATAGAAACAAGGATAAGATACACATCCCACATATAGTGAAGTTTAGTTGAAACAGAAAAAGTTTACTTTTGAAAATAAGTAAAGTCATTTTAAATATACTTTGCATTTTCTAATAAAAATTATTTACATTTAAAATGTAAATGATTGGTGCTGTAAGAATTTATTTTTTGCTGGATTTTGACCAGATTCTCATACAGACATTTTCAACCTTAACAGAATTCTTATTGGTGTGATTTGCTTATTTTATTTGTCAAAAATTCAATAGTGTTCTGGCATGTGTCATTGATTGCAAATATTAAATGATAAGTAATCAAAATCCCTTGTAAGACAAGTTAATTATGCAGTAGTTTTATTGGAAAACTTAATATTATGATTCTGAGTTACATAATTTGCTTAATTTTAATGCCTACCTCACTGAAAACTGTGTTTGTATAAACTGACCTTTCACCAAGGAGTGTAAAGCAGATTTTTCTCTCCAACCATATCAGAAAAGAATCAAAGTTAAAATAGCTACATAAATCAAATGACTTATAGTAACAATCACTAAAGGATTGTGATTTTGTTTTTGGTTAACTTTTTTCATTAAGAGGAAACAAATGAAGTGATAACATTTTTTTTTCTGAAAAATATGGCTGGAAACAAAGATATCTGGGTCACATTTGTGTTTGTTCTCTTTTACTTTTATCTTATTTATAAGAATCTTCATGAAAAAGACAACTGAGAGTTATATTAGTTTCTTAGAACTGCTGTAATAAATTACTACATTGTTTTCAACCACAGCAGAACTTTATTATCTCACAGTTATGAAGGCTAGAAGCTAAGAAAGAAGGTGCTGGCCAGGACATGATCTCTCTGAAGACTCTAGGGTAGCATCTATTTCATGCCTTTTTTCTTAGATTCGGGAGTTCTGTTGTTTGTAGATACAACATTCCAATCTCTGCCTCTCATGTCAGAGAGTGTTTCTCCAATGTGTGTTTCTCTCTCTGTATCTCTTCTCCTCTACTTGTAAAGATGTTAGTCATATTCAATTGAGGGTTCATCCTACTCCAGGATGACCTCATGCCAACTTGATTAGATCTACCAAGATCCTATTTCCAATACGGTTTTATTTTGAAGTTCCAGAAAAGACATGAATTTTGAGGGAACACTGTTGTTGTTGTTATGTGCTGTAGAGTCAGACCCAACTCATAGCGACCCTTCCTTGGGTTTCCAAGGCAGTATCACTACGGAAGTAGATTGCTAAACCTTCCTTCTGAGTTGAGGGAACACTATTCAAACCAATATAAGAGTACTGGAAAAATTATAGACATTTTAGTCTGGTCATCATTGATACCAAGTTTGGAAATCATTTAAGTATATGCATTAAAAATTTCTAGTTATACTTAGGTTTTCATATAGCTTGGAGTTTCAGGTATTCAGTCAATACAATTAGTTTTTCTTACACAATAATTTTTAAAGTTTTATTCTTTGATGTTTGAGATGTTCAGACATAGATCAAAGCATCCTGTAATGCACTTTAGTGGCTTAGGCTTGTGTCATTGCTACTAACTCAATTAATTCCTTGTTTTTGGGCCTCAACAGACTGACTTGAAGATCACTCCAGAGCAAAACACACAGAGATTATCTAGGAAGAATTTTGTTTAAACTACATATGCCTTTGCTTATACTATGCCTCAGTCACCTCAACATCTTGAATTATGTAAAAATCCTCTATGATTCTGCTATGCACACTCATGATTTGAATCATCATTCTGTGTGAATCTAAGAATATTTCTAAGCTCCATTCCAATGATATGTATTAAACTACTACTCCTTTTCTATGATGTATGTAATATTCATCCAATATTACACAAAAAGAAAAAAAAAGATTTGTTTTAATTAAATGGCTTATGCAGACAAAATTAATAAATAAATGAGATAAATTATTTTAACAACTTGCCCATACATCCCATAAAATAATTTCCAGATCTCCACTTACCTGACTAGCAGTGCAGTTGGATAAGCAAGTCCTATTATCAGCTGCAAGATAGAAGTTGGTAGGGCATGCACATGTATGGGTCTTTCCAGGGGCTAAAAGGCACAGATGACTGCAACCTCCATTATTTATCATGCAGAGATGTTTGGAGACTGAAGATAAAACAGAAACAACAACAAAATAAGATCATTAAGACCAATAATATAAGGTGGAATTATAGATAAGACATTTAAACTTTATACTTGTATCTTAATATGGCCTAGTAACCAAGAAATCAAGATTGTAAATATAATTTAATCTTGTTACCAATGCTATTTATTGCCCTATGACATTTATTTTACCATTAAATAATTTTAAGAATTCATTTCAATGAAAGCAAATATTTTAAGCAGATAAAACTGCCCCTGAGAAAAATAAAGAAGCTAAAAGAATTTTAGATGAGGTTATTCATATGTTCAGAATTCTAAACAGAAAATAAAACAGTGAAACTAATAGTACAGTGACTTTGTAGACAAGATATGTATTTTAACTGAAATTACAAAACTTTTATTATATTAGGACTGATATAATTCCTATTAGGTATACACTTAAGCAAATTTAATATATTTCTAGTTTTTGAGTCCTAGAACTACTGAAATGGAATTCCTTCTACCCAGCATCTCAGAAATTTAGACTTCTATTCTAACTGTTAATTACATTATTTCATAATGCATTCTTTACTTCTCTAACTGAATGTTTATTATAATTTCATCTTAGTACCATTCAACAGGTCAATTATTCTTTGTACAGATACTAAGTTTCTCATCTTATTCCTTATAACAGTAGTTGATATCAGTAGAACTCATCTTATAAAATGATTCTAAATAATGAAACTTGGCAATCTGTCTCAAAAATAAAATTGCACTTAAGCTTGGAGAAATAAAAAATGGAATGCTACTGAAAGATGTTGATGTGTTTATGGAAATCATGTAAAGAATAATTACCATCAGGTTGTCTATAAGAATGATACACCTGGATATCTGTGATGGCATGCCATGAGTTAATCAGTGAGAGTCTGTCTGTTCCAGAGGTTTTATGGGCACGGCTGAGCGACTTGGTTTTCCCATCAGTCCAGTAGATGTAGTCTTCAAACAATGTTAGTGCAATCACCCCTGGAATATCTTGATTAGGGACTGTAATAGGAGATGGTAAGATTAATGTTCAATCTTGGAAGACTGCCAGTTAAAATATTCAATACTGCATGGGCTGACAGATACAACCACTACGGAACTTCATGTGAATAATTGCTGTGACAACCTGTCAGGCCAGCAAGGTTCTTTATTACCTTTTAAGAGAATGCAGGATTGGGCACAAGAATTCACTTTGCTCAGATTTAGCTTGGTTCAATCAACCACTAGGAGGAAAATGAATAAGCTCCTACTCATAAGGAATGGCTGCTACACCAGAAACAAGTAATAGCCAACATTTTAAATAACCTATGTGTGAGTATGTGTGTGTTTGTGTGTGTGTGTACATGTATAGATAGATACAGTATTTTTACATAAATAACACATACTACATAATTTTTGCAAACTGCAATTCTGTAACACGTGATATGTGCTATATATACTTGTGTGCATTACTTACATGGGTACATTATATGAGAAAAATATTATGGAGAATATATACATTCTCCATCCAGGACCCTATGAGGCAGATAAGATATAAGAATTCTGTGTGGTGATTTGGAGTTAAATAATTTTAAACAATGATGGTTTCCTTTATGCTTCTAGCTTCTCATTATTTTCAAATAATTAATAAATTAAGAAAGCAGAAATTACCTAATTCACACAAAATTTCTGATATGTATCTTTGTACTAATTTTCAGAACTATTTTTAGAAATGCTGAGGAAAATTTCATTAACTGGCAAAAGACTGTCATTCCAGTATTACTTTTTTTTGAATAAATTAGAATTTTAATGACTGAGAATTAAGTTTTAGCATATTCTCTATTGAGTAGTAACTTGAAACTATAGAATTTCAAATACATTTCACCATTTGTAAGAAGGCATATGGCCTTATTTTAAAAAAATAATACATAGATTTATACTGTCAACAAAAAGTAGACATTTCTCATCCACTTACTTGTTATTTTTCATTCAGACAGCTCATATGTAATCAGAGAATTCACTATGAGTCAGAAATTACAGGGAATAAAATAAGAGTTCTTCAAATAAGTAACACTTTAATTCATTGATTGTTATCAATAATTTATCATGCAACCAGGAACATATTTCAGAATAGATACTAATGAAAGATATAAAATCAAGTTAAATCAGGTGGGTAGATTTTGATGTAAGTGCTCACAATTAAATTATCCATGTACTTCTATAAACATGCATAGCTAAAATGATAAGTGTACTTGGATAAAAGGATGAAACAGATCTGAGCTATTCATGTAAAGTATTCCACCTTTCCCCTTGGCTGTTTCATTCAAGAGAGGGATAACTTAAAATTTATTTTAATTTGGAAAAATATTAATATTTGAGTGAATCTTGGTGACGGGTGGTCATTATAATATTCTTTCTATTTTGTGTAGTTTGGAAATTTTCATAATACATTGGCAAAAAAAGTTGAAACCCTCATAAATATTCAATTCAGATCTCTTTGGACTCAAAGGAAGAAAATACATCTTTAAACAATTATTTAAAAAGTTAATATTCACTTTTAAAAAACTTAGTCTAAGATTTAATCAACTTTCAAGTCAAAATTAAGTTACTGAAATTATAATTATTATTGCATAAAGCAGCATATTGTTTTTAACTATTCAGGAGTAAGTAGCTAGTGGTTTTTGTTAAGTGCCATCCAGTCTAGTCTGAGTGATCCAGTCTAGTCAGAACAACCCTATGTACAACAAAATGAAACAGTGCCCTGTCCTGTGCCATCCTCACAACCTGTGGGACCATCATTACAGCTACTGTGTCAATCCATCTCATTGAGGGTCATCCTTTTTTTCTCTGACTCTCTATTTTACTAAGCATGCTATCCTTCTGCAGGCAATGGACCCTTCTGACTACATGACCAAAGTAGGTGAGATGAAGTCTGGCCATTCTCACTTCCAAGGAACATTCCAGCCACACTTCTTAGAGGATGGATTTGTTCATTATTCTAGCGGTCTATGATATTTTCAGTATTCTTTGCCAATGCCACAATTCAAAGGCATCAATATTCTCCTTGGGTCTTCTTTATTCATTGTCCAAGTTTCACATACATAGGAGGCAATTGAAAATGCCATAGCTTGAGTTAGGCACACCTTAGTCATCAAAGTGACATTTTTGCTTCTTAATACTTTCAAGAGGTCTCTTGCAGCATGTTTGCCAGTGCAATATGATATCTGATTTCTTGACTGCTGCTTCCATCAATATTGATTGTGTACCCAAGTAAAATTAAATCTTTGACAACTTTAACCTTTTTTTCATTTATTATGATGTTGTTTACTGGGCCAGTTGTAAGGATTTTTGTTTTCTTTATATTGAGATGTAGTCTATACTGAAAACTATAGTCTGATCTTCATCAGTAAGTGCTTCATGCTTCAAATCTCCTTCACTTTCAGAGAGCAAGATTGTATCTTTTGCATATATCAGGTTGTTACTGAGATTTCTTCCAATCCTGATACCACATTCTTCTTCTTATAGTCCAGCTTCTTGGATTATTCACTCAGCATACAGATTGAATAAATATGGTGAAAGGATACAACCTTGATGTATGCTCTTTCTGATTTTAAACCATGCAGTATTCTCTTGTTCTTTTCCAACGACATCCTTTTGGTCTATGTACATGTTCTTCATGAGCACAATTTAGTGTTCTAGAATTCCCATTCTTCTCAATGTTATCCATAATTTCTTATGATCCACACAGTCAAATGCCTTTGCACAGTCAATGAAAGAGAGGTAAACTTCTCTCGGGTATTCTTTGCTTGCAGCCAAGATCCGTCTGACATCATCCATGATATCCTTTTCTCCACATCCTCTTCTGAATCCAGCTTATATTTCTGGAAAATCTCTGTCAGTTTACTACTACTACATTCATTTTTGAGTTAGCTTCAGCAAAATTTGACTTGCATGTGGTATTAATGATATTGCTTGATAATTTCCACATTTCTTTGCAATGGGAACAAATATAGATCTCTGTCTTCCAGGCAGTTGGCCAAGTAGCTGTCTTCCAAATTTCTTGGCATAGACAAGTAAGTGCCTCTAGAGCTGCATTCATTTGTTGAAACATCTCAGTGGGTATTCCATTAATCCCTGTAGCCTTGTTTTTCAATTCCTTCAGTGCAGCTTGGACTTCTCCCTTCAGTATCATTGGTTCTTGATCATGTGCTACCTCCTGAAATAATTGAACATCATCCCGTTCTTTTTAGTACAGTGACTCTAAGTATTCCTTCCATCTTCTCTTTATGCTTCCAGAATTGTTCAATATTTTCCTCTCAGAATCATTAAATATTGCAATTCAAGGCTTAAAGTTTTCCTTTAGTTCTTTCAGCTTGAGAAATGCTAAGTATGATCTCCCTTTTGATTTTCTAACTCCAGGTCTTTGCACATTTCATTATAATACTTTACTGTGTCTTCTTGAGCCATGCTTTGAAATCTAATGTTCAGCTCTTTTATTTCAAAATTTCTTCCTTTTGCTTTAGCTACTCTCTGCTCAAAAGCAAGAGTCTTTTCTGACATTCATTTTGGTCTCTTCTTCCTTTCCTGTTTTTTTAATCATCTTTTGCTTTCTTCATGTATGATGTTCTTGATGTCATCCCACAACTCATTTAATCTTCAGTCATTGGTGTTAAATGTGTCAAATCTAGTCTTCAGATGGTCTCTAAATTCAGGTGGGATATGATCAAGGTCCTATTTAGGCTCTTGTGGATTTGTTTTCATTTTCTTCAGCTTCAAATTTAACTTGCATGTGAACAATTGCTGATCTGTTCTACAGTCAGATCCTGGCCCTATTTTGACTAATGATATTGAGCTTCTCCATCACCTCTTTCCACATATTTAATTGATTTGATTTCTGTATATTCCTTCTGGTGAGGTCCATGGGTATAGCCACCATTTATATTGTTGAGAAAAGGTATTTTCAATGAATGAGTCTCTGGTCTTGCAAAATTCTATCATGAGCTCTCCAGCATCAATTCTATCACCAAGGTCATATTATCCAACCACTGATGTTTCTTCTTGTTTCCAACTTTTGCATTCTGATCACCAGTGATTATCAATAAATTTTGATTGTATATTTGGTCAATTGCAGACTGCAGAAGTTGGTAAAAGTCTTCAATTTCTTTTTTTTTTTTTTTTTTTTTTTTGCTTTGGTACATACCAATGTAAATTTGCTTAATTATCATATTAACTGGTCTTCCTGGTGGTGGTTGTTGTTACGTGCCATTGAGTTGGCTCCAGCTCATAGTGACCCTATGTACAACAGAATGAAACACTGCCCAGTCCTGTGCCAGCTTCACAATCCCTGCTATACCTGAGCCCATCATTGCAGCTACTGTGTCAATCCATCTCATTGAGGACCTTCCCCTTTTCCATTGACCCTCCACTTGACCAAGCATGACATCCTTCTCCAGAGATATCTTCTGACATACCTTCTGACAATATGACCAAAGAAGGTGAGATGCTGATTGATGTGAGATGTCTAGCCATTCTCACTTCCAAGGAGCATTATGGCTGCACTTCCTCTGGGACAGATTTGTTAGCTCTTTTGGCAGTCGATGGTACTTTCAGTATGAACACCACAACTCAAAAGCGTCAACTCTTCTTTGGTCTTCCTAGTTCATTGTCCAGCTCTCACATGCATATCAGGTGATTGAAAATACAATGGCTTGGATTAGGTGCTCTTTATTCTTCAAGGAGACATCTTTGCTCTTTAGCCCTTTAAGAGGTCTTTTGCAGCAGATTTTCCCAGTGCAATATGCTGTCTGTTGTCCTGATTTCTGCTTCCATTGGTGTTGATTGTGGAACCAACTAATATGAAATCTTTTTTTAAATAACTTCAACCTTTTCTCCATTTATTGTGATGCTATATATTGGTCCAGTTATGAGAATTTTTGTTTTCTTTATGCTAATATGTAATCCATACAGCAGACTGAAGTCTTTAATATTTATTAGTAAGTGCTTCAAGTCATTCTCACTTGCAG